TATATACACATACACACAGATGTATGTATGTAGATGTATGTATATATGTATGTATGTATGTATGTACGTATGTGTATGTATGTATGTATGTATGTATGTATGCATGCATGTATGTATGTATGTGTGTGTATATGTATATATATGTCTGTATGTATGCACTCGATGCAAAACTAGGTATATCTGTGTCCGTGTATACGCATGTTTGTATCTGGTTGGATAAGTAGGCAGGCAGGTAGGGTTGCATGTGTGAAGACAGGCAAGTATGCCTATATGTGTGTAAGCACCATGTCTTCATGTACATATGTGTGTGTTCTGTATCTAAGAAGATGTAATTATGTTTGCATGCACACGTATCATATACTTACTTATGTGAAGTATGTGTGTATTTGTGCATAAGCTAGAAATGCATATGTGTGTTCATCCTCTCCAGGAGATCAAGAAGCAACCGGCTGTGAAGGCCGAGATGGACAAGAAAGTGTGCAAGGAGGAGCCATGCCCCGTGGCCTCTGTGGTTGAGCCTGCGAAGGATGCTGATGTTCTTGCTGCAGTGACGGATGATTACATGACCATTGATGACAGTGATGAAGAGATGCCCGCTACTTGAATGAATCCGGTCATGCTCTGCAATGTAGTTTGGTATGGCTACATGTCATATGCATGTTCTGCCCCCCAAAGGTATACAATGAAGTAGGTCTCTGTGTGCGATTATATATGGAGAAAAGGGTCCATGTCTGTGTCTGTGTATTGAAAGATCTTAAATTGTCTGCATATGCCGATATATTGTATATCTGCTTGCTCTTGCAGCTTTTTCTTCGTGTGCACATACAGACACAGACACAGACCCATGTGCACACAAACACAGAGAGATTCATATGTACATATATACATGTATGCAAATTACCCAAGCTGATTTCTAGTATACGATACTACACCCAACTGATTGAGAGTTGCTCTTTGACACATGCACACACCTCACCCGTGCATCTCTGCATAAGTATATACAAACGAAAATCAAAGAGCAGTGTGTAGATCTGGATGTGTGTGTATGTATGTATGCATGGGTCTCTGCAAAGTAACTATGTACATGTCTGTGCATGTTGTTATTCGATATTAAAGTATGGAGTAGTATATAAATATGAACATATCATTTTGTTGACACTGACCATAACTAGATCGATACAGTAAACAAGTATATCTCCCATTTAAGAATATTTAGGCACTAACTCTGGGTGTCTCTGTCATTCCAGAAGGTTATGGTTTTTCTACATTGTGCATGATGATAAGTGCAATGAAGTCAGTGCCCAAGTAACTCATGTAGTTGCGATAGCAATACTTCGGTTGTGCGATGTAGCTCTGACACAAGGATGCCTGGGCCAATGGTGGCACACAGCTACCTGATGATGTTTTGGCCAAGCAGTTGGTGCAGCTTGCCGAAACACAGTGCCCACCCCAGACCCCGGTGAAGCATGGGACGGTGCCTGGGCCGGCTACTACTTTGCAGGCATGTGCGACCCAAAAATGATTGCAATAATCCTAGCCAAACCCCAGCCTGAGCATTTGTCCCTCAAAGCATGAAGCCCTGTGTCAAGACCCGAAACAATCGACAAATAGTGCAACTTAACATGATTAGTCCCTCATACCCATGTGTCTGGCTGGCAGACACCACCTACAAAGATCAACTCCTGTGGGACACCGCTATCGAGGAGCTTGAGTATGCAGAGTACGACTACGGTACCTGCGAGCCTGCCTTCGACCCCAACACCGACCGAAACACCCCCCCATCCCAATCAGTCCTTGGATGCCGAGCTGGACACAGCTGAGGTCGAAGGGGCTGAAAGCAAGGTGCAAACTGCTTCAAAATAGCATCATATGCAGTTGTTAGCTAGTGCTGGTGATTCAAGTTCGGGGCTGCTTGAATGTTTTGGGGCTTGTTTTTTTCAAGGCTTGTAGTCCAGGGCTCCAAGAAGAAGCGTGAGATTGTCTATGTGGGTGAGCTTGCACTGACTCAGCAAGAGTACAACAACTGGCGAGGGAAGTTTGGGCGGGCCTGCACGCCCAAGCAAGCCTCGGGGCGGCTTGATGTACCGGAGGATGTTCATGAGACGTTTCTGCAGAAGGGGAAGAAGAAAGAACAAATGTTCGAGCAGTTTATTAGAGCCAATGGGGACAAGGAGTGGGTCCAGAAACCATGTAGATGCACAGGGGCTAGGATGGGGTCTTCTATATGTTCAGACAAGTTAAAACCAACATAGTGTGAACCTGAATACACTTGTAGTCGTCAGTGCAGGACCAATTTGTTCGGCGCTTCAGGCTGAAGAAGGTTTCCGAGAAAACGAACGAGTTGGACGAGGAGGGTGGGTACTATACTCCTGAGGAAATGAAGAAGCTCTTGAGCTACTCCCAGTGCCTTGCACTGAATACTTTGCACAAAGCCTTAATCTAAATGATTGGTGTCCATTTCTATATAGTGCCCAGTGGTGCAAAACCCAGGAAACCTTAACATGCTTCAAGATTCTTCCTAGAAATCTCTACCAAAGCCTAACCCGAACAAACCTACTTACATATGGTATTTCTACAAGCACATGTATGCATGTATGTATGTGTCTATGTGTGTATATGTATGTATGCATGCATGTGTGTGAGTGCACATGGGTCATGTGTGTGTATATACATATACATATATATATATATATACATTCACAGCTAGGTCTGTAACTATTGATATGTATATATATATATATATACACACATATGCATTCCCGCGAACATATGTGTATATGCATCTACAGGGATACATGCATACATGATGGCCCACCCTCTATAATTTCGTTCGATAACATACCCTAAGCCCCATGAGCCCTACTTGCTAGGAAACCTCTGAGAGAAGACCCTTTAAGCAATTGTACATCGTTGCATCAAGCACTATGCAACCATACAAACCCCATCAACCCCAAATACCTCCATGAACCCATCTTGAAAATCTTGGCTCGGTCCCTCCGATCTCATCTTTATTTAAATCCTGTGTTGGTCTTCTGGTTCGAAAACTGCTGCTTGTCCTAAGTGTTCCCTGAAACATGATGTACAAAGCCTCCAAGTTCTTGTCAATCTCCCTTTCTGTATAAAAGCTGATGTTGCCTACTGTCTGCATATGTCTTGATCTCCCGGCACATTGTATCAGTACCTACACCCGCACTGCCTATGATTCTCAAAAGAAACACCCTAGCCAAGGAACCTGAAACAACCCTCCAATTTCCCAACCGTCTCTCCTAAAACCTACTTCTCGAGCCCTCCCTTGCTTCGGCCTAGGAGCCGGGCCGACCAGACGGTGGCATGGTGCAATGACCCTGCCAACGGGGATGATCTTGTTTTGTGCCATGGACAAAGACAGCCATCTGTGCTTGCATTCTAGCATGTACTGTCACTGGGTACAGCACACTTCATGACTACATCACTCAGGACGGACTTAGTCGACAAGAGCATCAAGTTTTATTGGTGCCGCACACGTGTGAAAGGCCTCAAGCGCTTGAGGCAGACACAGACTGCTGAGGAGACAGCAGAGGCTGAGGGCTCTGGCCCCATGATGCTTAGTGGCATGGATAACAACGCCTGCACCCCTGCAACCATGGGCCTCCGAACCGCTGCCGATGTTGAAGCTTTGAAGAGTGAGGCCTCAGAGGATGAAAGTTGTGATTTCTGCTTGTTGATGAAACTAAATAGCAACCCTGCATCCAATTAAACCCCTTGGCTCCCTAATTTGCCTGCTCAGACGGACAAGCTTGAGATCCAGCAGAAGGAGCTTCTCTCGGTGCAGGAGAAAACATCTAATCTGTTGGACAAGTTGAAACTGGTTTCCCCGGACAAGAAAGAACGTGCGGAGGAGACCCCGGGCCTGCATATTGCAGCTACTACTCTGCTAGCACTACAGTAATGTCAGTTGCATGCATGTCAAAGACTTAGCTGGGCCGTTGTTATTGTGTGCAGCTCAGGCTTCGCCCCAAGCTGCTAACGATGTCCAAGACATCTGAAGCACTTTATGAGAAAATGGTTGATGCCTTGGCCAAGATCAGTACCAAGCAGTTGGACCCCGAAGCCACCGAGCTCCTAGTCAAATATTTATCATACCATCTAACAACCCAATGTGCTGCCAGTCTACGAACACCTGTGCTCAGGGGTGCCAAGCTCGTGCTGGAGCTTACAACGGAGGGCAAGAAGCTGCCTTGACCTTGGAGTGAAGAGCACCTTTCTTGCCAAACTGATAAACTCTTCAAGTCTCCGAACCGATTCCAATGAAAGCTGAAGCCTGGCCTGGTTTATTGGCAAGGTGCTCCATGTGGACTGGCCTCGAACGCACGTGCCGGCCACTGCCTGAGCAACTGCTTGCAACTTCAGCCACAGTTGGCAGTTCCGATTGCTGGGTGAGGGTTGGGATTTAGGCTGTCATGTCAGCTGCATGAACACTATATGGGTTTGTACTGTTTGGCCCAGGCCGACTCTTCGCAAGCCGCCGGTCAAGAAGAAGGAAGAGGACGAGTAAGACAAGTAGGGCTCAGGTGTTACAAACCGGGGTTTCGATGAAACACAGAATGTGTTGGGGTCATCTACGATGTCTTGTGAGCCTGTCGTGTACAGCTACACGCGGGACTTTGAAATTTGCAAAATCGTTCGTAAGCTGATGTGATCTTAGCTGATCGGCCGCTCCATAGCGCTACATGCTGCTGTGGATGTGCCCTGAAATGGACACCGACAATGCACATGGGTGGCTTGTGCAGAAGAAATGATCGTTGCAGGTGCATATCATGTCTCTCACACATACGTAATATACTTATATTACTTAATCTGTGAACATAAGTTCAGCAATGCCTGAATGCCAGGTCCACCTGGCACAAGTCAGACGGCCAAGTTCATGGCCGATGCCATCGGGTCAGGTGTGCCAGACCCAGCTTATTGAATTGCTGCATTTCTGGTCTGCTCAATCTGCTAGAGTGGGTTTCTGCTGGACCTGCATTCTGATGTCTCTGCCTCAAGCTTTTGCTAGTGGCTGGGCATGACACAGCCTGAGGAGTGGCTAGAAGAGTTGCTAGGGTTTTGTCAAGACGGCACCCGCAAGTTCAGTGTGCCATGTCGATCAGATATTCCTGCAACACGAGGCCTGTCAGGGATCCTTTTGTTTGGTCTGTTTGTTGCTTCCTGGCAGCCCCTTCTAGGCTAGGCTCTGCATGCTGCCGGCAACAACCTTGAAAGGACCCGGTGATGACCTCTTCGATGAAAGACCTGCTGTGGCTGAACGACAAGAAGCAGATGATGACAGCCCCTGGGTTCAGAAATGGGGTGTCACTACACGCAAGATCCTTTAAAGTAGACTCCTGGATAGCATGGTTTGTGCCACGGCTTTGAACTACGATTTCCTTAAATGTCAGTTGAACTCAAAACAGGATGAACCCCAACTAATCTTAAACCAATCTGGATATATCCCATATGTGCTAATCCCCAGTGCTGTTCCACTCTGGGTGTGCGAGCTTCTCTTTGGCCATTCGATGTAATGCTGCACCTGTCGGAGTCTGGGGCTTTGCTTGGTTCAAGCTGTGGGGCTTCAAGTTGGGATTTCTCTCACAAACAAGGGCTCTGGTTTGTCTCGAAGGGTTTACATCCTGTATAATCACAAAGCATGCACATGAATGTACATCACTCAGATGACAGATGCATCAATTATGTATATTTCATGTTCCCATGGTATACATGCAGTATCCTTTCACAACCAGGCTACAAGCAGCTGGACCTCTTCAAACCGTCGGTCCGTGATTTGCCACGACTCCGGGAGCTATTGCTCCAAGGCCTCGGCAATGATGATCGTGTGAAGCTCTGCCTGCCACGACCTTTGCTGAGTGCAGGCAAAGCTCTGCACTCCATTAGGGAAAGGGTTGCTAATATCCTTCAATTAGGGCCCACTGTCTTTAAGATCGGCCTTACTGGTGATCCATTGTTCCGCTTTTACAAAGTGCCTACGAGGACAAATGCATCAGCAGGCTATCGTTATGATATAGACCAGTATGCAGAAATGCAAGTACTGTTTGCAGGGGCCACGTGGGATGAAGCTTCCTTAATGGAGGCTGTGCTAATTGCCGAGTTTCAGGGCCGGCCTGGTAATCGCAATATCAATCCTGGGGGTGAGGGGCGGCAAGTGTTTGACCCGCCATACTTCACATACATTGTGTTCAAGTCGGCCCTGGTTGCACCGAAGCGACAGCGCCTTTATGCTGCTGGGGGGAAACAGAGTGCATCATGTCCTATGGCATCACTCAGTTGCAAAGTTGAGGTAGGCAGTCTTGCTGGTGTGAACATGTACCCCACCCGATAATGCCAATCCAAGTCTATGTCTTCCCTCAACCCTCAAATGTGGCAACTGCCTCGGACTGAGGTGCCGTGCTCCAAGATCGTGGGTCTGGCGAAAGCGATGAGGGCCGATGGCCTCGCGGCCTCGGGTGATGGCTTCATCCATGACATGTCAAAGGTTTCAGAGAAAGACGCTGAAACGAAGGCACACAGACTTCTAGGCAAGCACAAGCTCAGTCTACCGATTCCGCTCCGGGAGGTTCATGAGGTTCCAGCAATCGCCGGTTTTCCGAGATTGAAGCCTTTAGATATATTCCAATACATGGCCGATTCGGGTCATGTGAACAAGTTGCTGGGTGGAAGGACTGTGCAGTCCAGTCAGCTGTATCTATTGGATTTTTGGGACAATTACAAGGCCATACATCCGGACTTCGAGCTTTTTACCTCACACCGCTACACTGACATTCCTTTGGAAGACTGCATACCGATCGTTGCACACATAGATGGAGGGAGAGGCTACAAGAAGAGTGAGTTCATGATTTTTGATTGGGGAGCAGTCATAGGCTCAGGGGCGGGGAAAAAGAACAAGAAGGACCCAGCTGTTCGAGCTCTGAAGACCCGTGGCAACAAAATGCAGTTGCCTTTGTTGGGGCATTCCTACACTACGCATTTTCTTTATGCTGCGATGCCATCTTCCTGGCACAAGGGCAATGAAGATGGGTTTCAGGCATTGCTTCGGACTTTTGCCGAGGACCTCAAGGAGTGTTTCGACGAGGGGGTTTCCTTCAAAGGCCGGATTCTACGGTTGGTCTTACTTGGACTCAAGGGCGATTTGAAAATGCAAGCACGTGCCGGTCGCTTAACACGATGGTATACAACATCGCGCAAGGCTCCATATTCGGAAACAGCGAAAGGTACTGGGCAATGCTGCTGGCTGTGTTCAGCTGGGGATGTCAGTACCCCCTTCGAAGAGATACATTCCGACAAACCTGCTTGGCTTGTGAAGATGCCTACATTTACAGAACCTCCATGGGAACTTGGGCTCGAAGGAGGGATGCTCAAACCCTCCTTGTCCTAGTTGGACCGACCTGCCAAATTTTACATGGCTGATTTGTTCCACGTGTATCTTGCCGGAGTGGGCCAAGACTTTTGTTCATCTTCCCTGGTTTTCATGCTGCCAAGCTGTTTCCCTGGCTCTGGGGGAAATTCCGTGGATGCACAAATCGAGAAGTTGAATGAAGTCTTCAAAGAATGGAGATTGAAATTCCAGGAGCCGGTGCATCTGACAGCTTTCACGAGGGACAAACTGCAGTTCCATGATGCTACTTCGGGATTCCCTTCTGGCACTTGGTCAAAGGCTTCGGATACTGCACGCATCACCAAGTTCATTGTGTATATCTGTGAGCTGCACAGTGACAGTCGTAACAAAACCCTGCTATACATCTATCGAGCTGCTTGTGCAATCAGCCGCTTCATGAAGGCTCTGTACGATGCAGACTTGTGGATTGATTTCGAGTTGCATGTGGCATCATGTTTTGGTAGGCTACAAACAGCTAAACCAGATGGTGCTAGATACCCAAATATACCTACTTCGACTGTTGAGTCGTGCCCATTCTTGTCTTTCAAGAACGAAACTGATCCAAACAAGATTCTAGTATGATTCTCGACCACCCAGGAACCGGCAGCAACGGCCCCGATTGTGGCAGTTGGTTTGCTCTTCCTCAAGTGCTACAGCAAGCTGGCCTCCTTGGCTTTTGCAGAAAGCAAACCGTTGTGGTGCTATCGTCCAAAGATTCATACACTCCATCATATGATTGTGGAGATGCAACAAGCTTGCCAAATGAATACTTGTGCTCTGAATGTTCTTGCATTCTCCTGTTCCCAAGCGGAAGATTTTGTAGGGCGGACGGCTCTTATCAGCAGACGTGTCGCTGCGTCTACAGGGCAAACTCGTGTGCTGCAGAGATGGTTGGCAGGAGCCCAGTCTCAGTGGTCCCGAAGCTGAGCTCCGGGCCACTGATGCACCGACGATGTTCGCAAGCATGATGATGAAAACGATCGAAGTCGAGCGAACCTATAGACTTATAAGCAGAAGCATCCCAAACCCCACTCCGTCCTGCAGTTTCTTGTGTCCCAAGTCCAGAAACCACAACATTGGACCAAAGCCAACTCACGAATCCCAACCTATAAGCCTTAGAGCCCCACATGTGCCTTCTCAAGATAAGACCCGTCATTGGCCCACACAGGCACGCTTAGAAAGGGATGCACGCTTAGATTATGGTCGGGGAACAGGGGTCCAGGTAAACCCTAAACCCCTAAACCCTAAACCCTGAACCCTCAATCCCCAAAACCCTAAGCCATAAACCCCAAACCCTAAACCCTGAATCCCACAGGCCCCTCTGGACCATCGTAGTGAGATTCCAAACCTTAGCTGGGCCCTTAGGGTTTAGGGTTCAGGGTTTGGGGTTTCGGGTTTATGGTCTAGCCCTTGAGGCTTGGAGTTTAGGGTTTAGGGTTTGGGGTTTGGTGCTTTGGGTTTCGGGTTTAGGGCTTCGAGTTTAGGGTGTAGGGTTTAAGGCTTTGGGTTTAGGGTGTAGGGTTTGGGGTTTGGGGTTTGGGATTTAGGGCTTCGGGTTTAGGGCTCAGGGTTTAGGGCTTAGGGTGTAGGGTTTCGGATGTGGGGTTTGGGATTTAGGGTTTGGGGCTTAGGGTTTCGGGTTTAGGGCTCTTGGCCTTAGGGTTTAGCGTTTGGGGTTTGGGTTTTTTTTAAAGTGCAGTTTGGGGTTTAGGGTTTAGGGTGTAGGGTTTGGGGTTTAGGGTTTAGGGTGTAGGGCTTCGGTTCTAGGGTTTGGGGTTTGGGGTTTAGGGTTTATGGCTTAGGGTTTAAGGTTTAAGGATTAAATATAGAAACTAAGCTAACCAAAAAAAGGTGCTAAATTTACGGGTCTAAATAAAGCCCGAAGCCCTAAACTCCAAAGGCGGCAGCTCGCCTGAAGTTCTCGAAGCAAGGCTTCACCGAGTTCTTTTCGGAGAGCCTCCCCGCGGCCAGGGTTTAGGGTTTAGGGTTTAGGGTGTAGGGGTTTGGGGTTTAGGGTGTAGGGTTTAGGGTTTAGGGTTTAGGGTTTAGGGGCAGAAGCGAAAAGGACAGGCACCATAAGATGGGCCTTTCATGACTAGAACAGGGTTTTGGAGGTTTGGGGCTTTAGGGGTTTAGGGCTTTAGGTTTTTAGGGCTTTAGGCGTTTAGGGTTTATGGGTTCAAGGTTTAGGGGTTTAGGGTTTAAGGTTTACGTAGATGGGCCTTTAATGACTACCTATAGGGCTTTAGGGCTTTAGGGGTTTAGGCTTTAGATAGATGGGACTTTTATGACTAGAATAGGGTTTCAGGGTTTAGGGTTTAGGGCTTAGGGGTTATGTCTTAGGGGTTTAGGGTTTAGGGTTTACATAGATTGGCCTTTATTGGCTAGAACAGGGCTTTAGGGCTTTAGGGTTTTGCGGTTTACATGTATGGGCCTTTAATGACTAGAATATGGCTTTAGGGCTTCAGGGTTTTAGGGATTGGGGTTTACACAAGGTTTGCGTCTTTAATGACTAGAAGAGGGTTTTGGGCAGCAAGTACCAGTTGGTCAGACAGGGGCTAGAAGGGGATTGCCATTTTCTAGTCCTAGCCCTTACCCTCAAAGGACTCATATTTTACGGCTTGCGGGCCCAAAGACCCTATTATGCTTGCGGGCTATTTTGATGCTAAGGGTAAGAATTCAGATCCCTGAAACAGCCTTGCTGTAAGCTCTATCGGTGCTTGGGCTGACTGAGGGGGAGGGTTTGAGGCGTCTGGACCGCCCTAAACCCTAAACCCTAAACCCTATAAACCCTAAACACTAAACCCTATAAACCCTAAACCCCAAATCGTATAAGCCCTAAACCCTATACACCCTAAACCCTATAAGCCCTAAACCTTATAAACCCTAAACCCTAAATCGTATAAACCCTATAAACCCTATAAACCCTAAACCCTATAAATCGTATAAACCCTATAAACCCTATAAATCCTGGACCCTATAAACCCGCTATAAACCCCAAAACCCTAACCCTTAGCATCAAAATAGCCCGAAAGCCTTATACAATAGGGTCTTTGGGCCCAAAAGCCTTAAAGTATGAGTCCTTAGAGTCCTAGGGTAAACCCTATAAACCCTATAAACCCCCCAAAACCCTAAACCCTAAACCCTAAACCTTAAACTATCAACCCTAAACCCTAAACCGTTTGAGCTATAGGGCTGGTTGCCCTTGCAGAAAGAGATGCCTCTAAGGACTTTAGGAGGGTAGTCTTCATATTAACCCCAATAACCTACAAGGGTCCCTATTAAGGGTCCCTCCTAAAGCCCTTAGAATGCTAAATCCCCAGGAGATGTCTGGCTTGCACTCCCAATTGGGGAATGCAGGGTTTAGGGTTTAGGGGTTTAGGGGTTTAGGGTTTAGGGTTAAGGGGTTAAGGGGTTTAAGGTTTAGGGTTTAGGGGTTTAGGGTTTAGGGCTCCCTTTCTGTAGGGTTTAGGGTTTAATTTAGGGTTTAGGGTCATATAGGTTTCATTACTGTTGTTCTTGATGTTCATACAAACATCGGTTTCTTGTTATTACTATGTATATACACAGATGTCTATATATATAGATATAGATATAGATATGTCGAACATTTATAGGGTTCTTGGAGCAGGTTGCGGGTTTGGGGTTGAGGAGGGCTCGGTGGTAAGGTAACATTCGTCGCGATGACAAGTCTCTGGCAAAACACGAAACCCCACAGACCCTGAACCCTAAACCCCAAGCTGAATTCTGAGAGGAGGCTTTTGGGAAAAGGGCGGCTAAACCCTAAACCCTAAACCCTAAAACGACTTATTGTATGATGGCCTTGGAAACTTGACTCAACGCAACATCTCGGCATGCATCGGAAAAGTCGCACCCACCTGAACAGCTGTGGCATGCTCCTCGTCACGGGCCTGCAACAAAAAAGCTAATCTTGAACCGAGGGCGTG